CTTCACCAGAGACAGAGTGGGGAGCAGAACAGGCAGATCAACGAAGTACACTGCTGAGGGGAGCAGCGGGCGAGTCTGGAGAGGTCTGCCGTGCCATGTGGTCACCTCCAGGGCAGGCGGGAATCGAACTCAGGCTGAAGTGGCTTTAGCTTCTCAGTGCTGCACTTTAACCCGCTGCGCCACCAGGGAGGGCCCAATGCTAATTATTAATCTGATATTTATACAGTATAGTTTTCATATCTTTACTTCAACTTTATAAATAAATTCACATTAGATTATTCTGTATTTTGAGTATGTATTATTCAGATTATGAAGTAAACTAAATCAGGCAGTTAAATATTTTACTTAAGAAATTTTTATTTAAGAAATTTTGGTGTGCTATTGCTCTTCATGGTCCTTGTACTCAGTTTCTCCTTGGTACATACGGTTAGCCTGAACAACATTTAGCAGTTTGTTCTCAAGGGAGAACAATCACCACACTTGACAGGGATTTTGCACTAAATAGTCCAGAGATGCCCAGACTGACAAAAGGTATGGAATCTATCATTTGTGCAGATTGGATTCATCACAGGTTTCCTAAGTCAAGAATTCCAGATAAAGTGTTTTGGCCTTCACCTGCAGATCATCAAAACTATGGTGGGGGTTCACAACACCCTCAAAGGCTACATATTGTTATAGAATAAGAAGGACAAAAACACATTCATATTTGGGAAAAAGTTGTAATAAAGATGCTTGGATTAGTAAAAGCATGTACTCCTCAAGTTCCTAAGAGTATCCCTTAAGTGAATGCATAACTGAAAATTGTTAAACACTTGATAAGAAAGCCCCATAAGTTGCCACAAGGATTTCCAGTGGGAGAAGACATGACTAAATGTACCTCAAAAGCACTGGGAAATTAGTAGTGGGGTGGCACCTAACCCTCTGGGCCACAAGGCAATTAAGTCTTAATGTCAGAGCAGTTTCAGATTAAAAACTGTAAATCATTTTAACCTAACTATAGTGAGAATGTGTACTCTTTACAATGTTTTAAATAGAAAAACATTTTAGGGGAATATTGATCACATACAATGTGTAGTCTTGTACCACTAAAGTGCAGAATAAGCTTCATCGAAAGGTGGCGTGAATAACAGTATATTTATTAGGATACCATATTCTTTCTTGCAAACCCATGTTTCTCTGCAATGGTAGAAATAAGAATTTTCTTGTTAAGGCTCTGTAGAAGAGCTCATTCTATACAGTACTGTTACTAATAGAAGAGTAGCAGAAGATCAGAACAGTTTGCAAATTCAAGCCTTTTTTGGGTTCTTAGCGTAGGAAGGTTAGACTGGTCTTCAGTGATGAAAGTGAGTAATTATTGATGATATATGGACTTGAATATTTGTGAAACTCTTTCCACATCTATACATGCTTATCGCTTATCTACCAACAGGTACAACTGTAACTGCTTTAAGATTGTTTAAGAATCTGCCTGTAAGGAAACAGTTTTACTCAACTGCTAAAAAGTGTAAAGATGAATTAAAAAAGGTCCAAGATCTCCTCATAAACTATGGTATACTTAAACCTGACTTGAGGCTTACATTTATACATAACAAGGTAAGCATTATTGCATTTTTATGGGTTTTGGTATATAATGAAGGTGTGGTTATTTTATTTAAATCAGATAAGTATAACCTAAAATTTGTTAACATTTGTTTTATCTTTATTATATAACAGAAATCTATAATTTGTTACTTAATACCCATGTGAAGTCTGATTGAGCATTTAATTTCTTGGAGCAGTGATTTCACCAACAAACTTTCTATCCAAGAAACATTTTTTTTTAAAAAGATTTATTTATTTGTTCATACAGAACTGGAGTACAGGCCAGAGGCTCAGGGGCGGCAAGAGGCTTCACCAGAGACAGAGTGGGGAGCAGAACAGGCAGGTCTACGAAGTACACTGCTGAGGGGAACAGTGGGCGGGTCAGGAGAGGTCTGTCAGCCATGTGGTCACCTCTTGGGCAGGCGGGAATTGAACTCATGCGGAAGTGGCTTCAGCTTCTCAGTGCTGTGCTTTACCCCGCTGCGCCACCAGGGAGGGCCCCAAGAAACATTTTAATGCTTCCTTGTCTTTAAGGACTGTTCTTTTCCTTTAAGGACTTCCAATTTAATGACATTTTCACCTCTGAGTCTGTTTCTTCTTTGAAAGAGTTCCCCACACTTTCTTTTAAAGGCCTGGACCTCCTTTTTATTTTTAAAAACAGGGCTAATAAGGAAGCTTGTTTTTGGCTGTTGCTGGATGAATTTTAGATAAAAGAAAGGCTTAGATAGTTTCAGATTATTCTGTTTTTCATAAAATTTTACATGTGCATCTTGAAATACTCAATGGAAGGAAAGCAGATCAACACAGAAGTGTGGAAACCAAAAGGGGAGTAAGTGTTAGCATTTATTGATGCCCTACACAATGCTGAGACTAAGTTTAGGAACATGAACCATTAAAATCTATCGCAATAACTAAGTGAAATAGATGTTATATCAATTTTGTAGCTGTCTTCTGAACAGAACTCAGAGGTTTAATATTTTGCTCACTGTTGCTCAGCTTGTAAATTGTTGTACTGTTCTTTTTATTCTACTTTGTTGTTTACTCATTTTAATACAGCATATTTGTATAGTTTCTCTCCAGAGTTCAGAGTACATACAGTAATTTAGTAGGCATTATTCCTTTCTGAATGTGAAGGTCAGAGTGAGCAAAGGAATTGTTTTATATTTTATAGTAAGTAATAGTGCTAATACCATAGCCTGTTATTTTTCTTTCTACTTCATGTATTTTTACTTGTTTTTAACAAGATTTTGTATTAAACTAAGCTATGGTAAAACATTATGACCAAAATCTTTAAAAGAGAAAGTAAAATATTAAGACTCTGTAATCACCTGTTCCTACTGGTATAGAGTCCACAGCTTGAGATCCCTTCCAGCTCTGCCATGCTTTGATTTCTTGGAATTTTGATGGATGGAGACTCATCTTGGTATTATTAATAACCCTGTGATCTCTTGACTAAAGGTCATTTGATAATAAAAAAGTTAAATGTGTTCAAGTTGAAAAAAGATTAAGGGCAGAAGCAAGATCAGGAAGGGAAATGGAAAATATAAAGGTAGGAAGTACATGTTTATGAGAGAAAAATGAGTACAACTAAAAAGTTTTGAGTAAGAATATATAATTAAAGAACACAACAAGATTATTGCTCCATGTAATAGAAATGAGTATTTAAAGCATAATATCAATACATATCTTATGAGCCTTGGATAAGTGTGTTATTTTCCTAAACACTTGAAAGATTGTTAGTGTAGGCATTTTCTTTTTAGAATGGAATGTAATATATTGCATTTTTTTAATTCTTAAAAGGTCCTCATATCTGAACTTATATCAAACAAACACAAATTTTTAAATAGCATTCAATAATTTCAGAAGCAGTCAAATCCTGTAGGAACCACGTAGAGTGTCTATGCAGGTACCATAAAAATAATGTAAGATTATCAAAAATTTTATAGTAACATTAAGTATTCCTTATTACTAACCAAGGAAGTCTTACTGAATAAGAAGCAGTGTACCTTTAAATTATTTTCTCTTAGTACAAATTATTTTTCAACTTTTTTATTTCTTAAACATGCTGCTTAATTGTACTGCTAAGTCTTCCAAAATTATGGTGGCACATCATAAATCTTTTTGACCATGAGTCCTGATATGCTCTGAGACTTTTCATTTAACCATGCTTTTATCATTCTTTTTTTTTTTATTACAAAGTTTATTTTTACATCATTTTGCACTTTTTTTTTTCCATCTCGATTGTAATCCCCGCGGGGCTTTTATCATTCTTTATGTGCTCTTCACAAGACCTTTTCTGTCTTTACTTAACATTCAACCATAACTGTTGGCATCTTTTCTTTATTGTGGATTTTTCCCCCTGCATTAGAAACAATCAAATTGCACATAATATGAAAAGTACTATTGCTATTTTGACATCTTGGATTAGATAGTGTTCTTCCTTTTTATGAAGGTTTAACCTGCCAAGACATTCTTTGAATACTGATAATGTTGATGCTCTTGCCAGTATGGTTATGTTAGAAAGAGGTATTTTTTCTTCTTTCATCACCATGTTCCTTGAAAGCATATTGAATAATGAGACAGCCAAAGGGAAATAATTTACAAGTGAATTCAATGAGTTTATTTAAAGTTGGTATTATTTAGAGAAATGTTAGAGCCAGTTATGGACAAACACTAGTTTTTAGCATTACTTGTAATAACTGAATCCGTAAGAGCTTCTGCTGTATATGTTTTAATTTATAAAGCTCTTATTTCCCAGAATTAGGAGATTTTTTGCCACAATGTGATAATAGCTGAAACCACCTTAGTTTTGTTAAATCATGTCATATGTACATGAATTATTTGGGAGACCGTAAGTTCAGAGCATATGTTAAATGTGTGATTTTAAATAAAGCTTATTTTTGTACTTGATTACTGATTTGTGATTATTTTTCTTTTTTTTTAAAATATCATGTGTGATTTTAAGAATTGATTGGAAATGAATTTTATCTTGACAATTAGAGTCCCACTGATACTGCAAAAACTGAATTGGATATCATTGACACAGAGTGTTTAACTGTTAGAGAAGAAAATACCTTAAAAAATGACTCTCCCTTCTAACCTTCCTCCATATCAGTCACTGTTAAGCTTTCTGGTATCTCTTTTGTTTCTTTTTGAGATCTGGAAGAATAACACAGCTTTGAAGAATTAAATATCTCTTGTTTCTGCAGAGAAAACAAAAACTCAGAAACAGAAATCTGAAAAACTTGCTACAGTGATTTGGTAGTGAGGGTGGTGGCTCCCCCTGTTGACAGTTTTCTGGTCTGTAGAAGGATACAGTTTTATGGTGATAAAGATTGGAGGGAAGCACAGAGGGGTGGTTGACCAAGAATCAGAAATAATGGCTACATTTACACATTTATTGGAGTATAAACTGAAGATAAATAAGTGGTATTTTATAATCTGTATCTCCTACATACATGATATTATGGTTATTTGTTTCTCCTTATATCTTTTAACCTTTTACTCATAGTATAATATCTCAGTTTTAATTTAGCTGTCTATGAGGAATCAAGGAAAAACTTTGACCCAGATTAAAGTAGTGTGAAAGGTTCATCTCCAGGGTTCTTTCCTATGTCCAAGCTGTGGTCTGAAGGCAATATATATAGTCAAATAGACATTCCAGTTCAGGACTGAGGTTCAAATCCTGCTTCCTTATATAGAAATCATTCTTCTAATACCATCCTTGAAAGGTTGGGTGGGTTTATTTTTGTTTCTTTTTAATTATTTAGGATGGAAATCCCTTTGTATATAGTTCATGTTTAACTTGGAACATGATCAATCATGATTTGTTGGTTAGCTGAGTGTATACATATACACTATTCTAGTCTTTTCCTTTCCTGTAATCTTAAGTGACTGATAATGTGTTCATTAGAACTGTGTAAAGGTAACATACAAAAGACTTAAGTAAAAGAAATTATAATACAAAGATTTTATATGTATATGGCAATGTGGGGAAATACTTGACAATCACCAAGACTGATCAAGTTTATGTATTTCTCTCAACTATATAGAACCATTCTTTCACAGGTCCTCTAATCAAATACATTTATGTGCTTGCTCACTTTTTATCCTAATACATTTCTCTGTTCCAACACAGTAGACTTCTCTTCTGATCTATAATAACCTGGGTATTCTACAAAAAAATCTAACCTTTTGAGTGGAGTCCAGTAAAGGTTGTTCAGATGATTCCTAAGGCCCTTTCAACTCTAACACTTTGATTTTAAGGAAGTCTACATATAGTTTTAGCACTTTGATTTTTCTCTAAAAATTTAAATTGCATCCTACATCTTTATAATTTGAAAGGACCACTGAAAATGTTTTTTGCCCTGCCTCAGATTTTTTAGTAGAGTGTTTTTATTCCTGCCCCTCCCAATTTATCTTTATATGACCAAGGATTGAAAGGAATTGCATAATAACTTAAATGTTAATATAGCAGATCATGAACTAAAGTTCAAATCTTTTAGTTTTTAATGCCACATACATTCTCCTTTGCCATAGCTTCTTCACACCTACTACACAGTTTTAAGTAGGTTCTGTGTAACATTTCTGTATGGCTTTCTCTGAAAGAGCTTCCAGTATAAGCGAGGAGGTAAGGTAGGAAAGTGTATGAACATTTAAATTAATGAAAAGAATTATGACAATTTTGTTGAACAAATGTCAGGTGATATCAATAAATGCCTATAAGATTTGAGAAAAGGAAAAAATTACTCCAGGCTAAAATAGCCAGGGAAGACTTCACAGTGGATGTGTTTTTATGTGGATCTTTGTGTAGGTATTTAACAAGTATCTTGACGAGGTTAAAGCTAATGCTGAGAAGTATCAGTGTGTGAAAATAGATCTTATCCCCATACAAACTTTCTTATTTGCTCTGAATAGAAAAAAAATCTCATCTAATTTTTCATTTTCTTACTGTATTTATTCAGTATCCTGACTTTAGATAACATTTTTACATTGAGGACTACTAAATTTATCTTCATTTTGTGATTCTTCTAGAACTCTGACTTATAGATCTAGCTACCACACACGATCTCTTTTATGTTCATATAGTTATCTAGGAGAAGATAGCTGTTAATGCAGATCCAAGGTTATGGACTTGCAAGATCTGGAAAAGTTAAAACTTAAAATGTTTAAGAAATCAAATGTGAGCTGCTTAGTATACTTGTTCATCCAATTTGCACCAAAAGTTTGGTTGTACTCTAACCCAATATGATTAACTTTTATTTCATATTCTAGAAATAGTTGCCTTTACTCTGCTATTCTTAATGGCACTATTACTTTTTAGTTAATTGGCCATCATCTCTGTGCCACCTTCTTTTCCTTACTTTGACAAATTGCCTTAATAACTAAGGCTAATTAACTGAATACTGAGTCTTCTCTAACTTCAAATACTATAGGCCAGTTGAGTAGCAACCTTGGCAAAATATATTTGGCTAACATCAATTACATGGTGTGACTGTAATAATATATTTTTGATGCAGGTGTTTTTGCACTGTCATCATACTGACGAGTCAGATTCTTACTTGGCACATCGAGATGCTCTAATTTTTTTGTGACCTAGATAGAGTACATATGGGGGCATGTACATGTATTTTTAGCTTATGTTAAACCTTCAGCTAAGGACAAAATGTCTAAAATACTTAAGGAAGTGAAAAGAAAATCTATTTTAAGAAATAATACAGGATTGATGAAATGGTGGGGAAATCAAAGTAAAAACTTTCCTGTCTTCACCCGCTGCTCCCCTCAGCAGTATATTTCCTACATCTGCCTGTTCTGCTCCCCACTATGTCTCTGGTGAATCCTATCACCACTTCCTGCCTCTGCATCTTCCTGCCTCTGAACCCCAATTCTTGTATGCATAAATAAATAAAAATAAATCTTAGGAAAAATGAAATAAATGACACAGGGGATATTTCATTCTAATACAGTGCAGATTATTCAGAACATTATCTCCTTTCCATTATTTTTTATTTTCTTTCAATTATTTTGAACATTGTTCCCATAAGCACCACCTAAGGTGCTTAAAATAACACCTTTGTCTTTACAAGCACACCCACATGGAAACACCTTACAGCCTATTATTTCCCCCAAAATAGTAACCCTATTACCCAGCAATATGATTAATAGACATACCACTCTTAGGTATATACATGCTAAGAGAAATGAACCCATATTTCCACACAAAAACTTGCACATGAGTGTTCATAGCCATCATTCATACATAGTAGCCAAAATCTGGAAACCACCCAACTATCATTCATCCAAAGAAAGCATAAATGAAATGTGTAACCATGCGATAGAATATTACTAATATGTCTCACTTAGCGTTAACACCCTTAGTGCCCTAATATCTCTCTCTGATGTCTATCATGGTGTTTTCCAATTAAGTTTCTACAGTGGTTCATGGTTGTAAGAGAAATGACAGACTTCTTTTCATGAAGTAATTCATGATCTTGCTCCTGTCTTAGCAGTCTATCCCACTTTATCTCCAAATCACACACCCTGTACTTCCATGCTTTTGCATATGCTCCTCCCTGTGTCACTAATGCCCCTCTCATGATGGTGGCAGAGACAAGTCCCACCATATATGCAGTTGCTTTGTTAAGTGAACTTAAGTTTCTTCTGTAATGATTCTACTCTGTTTTGTAGTTGTACTTCTGTAATGCAATGTAATTACTTTAATATCTTGTTTCCTTTTAAATTTTTCATTTCTTGATAGCTAGGACCTTATCCTTTTATGTTTGTATTCTTAGCTTTATGCATAGTATCTGGCACAAAATAGTTTTTCATTAAATTTAATTTAGCCAAAGCATTTATATTAGAAATATGTGATAAAATTAAGGATCAAAATACATACGAGACTATGTTTCCTGGAGAAGTTCAGTTTTAAGCAGTCTAGTGTATTGTCCTTTAAGTATAAATGTAGTTAGCAGAACACTTTGTCTGGAAATACATACAGTGAACTTATACATTTTTACTGTTTAGAATTTATTTATTTTAAAGATTTGTTTATTTATGCATACAGAACTGAGGTACAGGCCAGAGGTTGCGGGGCAGCGAGAGTATTCACCAGAGACAGAGTGGGGAGCAGAACAGGCATCTCGAGGAAGTACACTGCTGAGGGGAGCAGCAGGTGAGACTGGCGAGGTCTGCCACACCACATGTGTCACCTCCTTGGCCAAGGATTGATCTGGTTCTGAAGCAGCTGCGGCTGTCTTCATAGTTCTACGCCTTAACCCATTGTGCCAGCAGGGAAGGCCCTTATATCACTTTTCTTCCCTCACTGCATCCGATACAAGTCTGATATTAATACCCTCCATTGATCCACATTTTGCCTCTTTGCGTTTTCACTTTGCAGCCAAACTTTTTTGAAAGACCTACCTAGATTCACTTATTCTCCCTATAGACAATCACCATTCAATCACTAAAATTTATTTATACAATTTCCCTAGAACTGCTCTTTTTTGGTAAATTTTATGGCCACATCTCTTCTATACTGGTCGCTAGAATGGTTGCATTTGACTACTTATTTCTTATTAAAAGAGTCCTTTTTAGGTGCCCCATACGGTCTTTGGACTCTTCCTGCCTCTTGGTCCTCTTTTCAGGCTCCTCCTCCTTCTTGCCCCTTAAATGTAAATACTAATGTTTTCTCCTACATCCTGTACACATTTTCCTCAGGATCTCTGAGGTATTTAGTGAGTATTTGTTGAATGAACAAGTGGCTTCTCAGGAGGTTTGACCATAACGGGCCTTTGTTAACTGAAGAAATTGGAGTATATCTTTATTTCACAGACAAATTTTGGTTCAGTCTGTGTTAGATATTGTGCTTAACTCCCCTACTGCTACTAGTGTCGTTCCAGTTAGCTTTTGTAAGTTTTTTGTATAAAATTATACAAGGTAATTTTAAAGAGCTTGCAAGTTTTTATACTGGTTAGACTATTTATAGAAATCTTAGATTTATAGAACTCTATAGCTGTTCTTAATAAATAAGGCCTGGTGTCACTACTGTGATCCCTGGACAGGGAACTAACCCACATGGTGCAGCAGACCTCTTTTGTCTCACACACTGTTCCCTTTAGCAGTGTATTTCAGTGAATCCTCTTGTTCTGCTGCCCACTCTGGCTCTGGTGAATCCTGTCACCCATGTACTGCTGGCCTACAGCCCAGTTCTATGCAAAAACAAATCAAGTTAAATTAAGTAATACTTTACTTGGATTAACACTTTTAAAAAATATATTCTGAAGTATACACTCTGACGTAATAGGATTAGAATTAATATTTAATGAAAATTTTATGCCAAGCATTGGCCTGCATGTGTGCCTACATTATGTATTTTCATCTTCCAACAACCCTTGGAGATAAATATTTTAAGTCATCTTGTAGGAGGAGAAACTGAGTCAAAGGAAGTTAAATAGGCTGAACCTTAGCACATAGACAGCGTCTAAAATTTAGAATGAAGGTTCGATTAGACTTTTAGCTCATGCATCTCCTCTAAATGATAGTGAAAGAACAAGCTAAAAGCTAATGCTAAATGTGGAAATTAATGTTTTAATCACTTGATTTTAGTAAATTTAAATTGTGTTAAAAGTCGTTTTTGTTATTTGTCCTTAGGCAGTTATTTGGCAGAAAACTAAAGTATCAGATCATAAGATGGCTCTCATGTCTGTTCTGGGAACTGCAGTTATGGGCAATATGGAATCCTTTCAGTACCATGTTGAAGATTCTCAGGTATGGTTCTTACAGTAATGTTTTTCAATAATTCTAATTTACCACTGAAACTGTTAAAACTACTTCCTTTTTAGGGAATTGGGGTGACAAGAGTTTTTTCTTTTAATATTTTGATCACATATATATGTGTGTGAGGATATAAAAAGGACAATGCTTATAGAACTTATGTATTAAACCTCTCTCCCCAACCCTACTTGCTGTTTTTATCATTTCTGTTTGTTGCTTTTCATTTTCAGTATTGACCAACATGAATCTTTTTTAATGATTTTCAGTTTACAATCAAATCTCTTTACATTCCAATATGAAAGAGTTGCACACTTTGTTTCCCCTTCCCTATCTGAAATACATATTCTAGTTTTCTTTTCTTGATCTGTGAACTTCAAACTGTGCTAGAGTCCCTGTATTGCTGTATAGTTTTTTACACTTTCACTTTTACTTGCCTTTTCCTTTCTTAGTCTTGTCATCTCTACTTTTATGTTATCACGCTTAATAACCTCTATTGTTTTTAAGGTTTCCATCTTTTTTAAAAGCTTTATTCCAAATGTTAAAACTTCCATGGAATATGTATTATTATAAGCAATCCTTGCAAACCAAAGTTTATGCTTGGATTATATTTCCTCTCCAAAGATCCATTGTTATGTCTCTGCCATACAGATGAGAATATTTCTGTAAATCTAGTTTAATGAAATCTCCTTTATTTTTTATTTTTATTCTCTAATCAGTTGCTCAGATTTTGTCCTATTTTTCTTTGGTTAGCTTTCTTTCAAACTTTTGCAGATCTGTCTTTCATTACTCATTTACTTATGCTAAGCACAAACAAAACTAAGCACTAACTGAAACTCAGGAGTTTGAAAACTCAGTTCTTTTTCCCTTCCCAGTTTGTACTTCCACCTCGCATCACTGAAAATTTCTCCATTTTTTAGTCCAATGCCTGATTGAGACTTATTTCTCATAGTTTTCTCAAGTTTTTCATCTTGTATTTCTCTATAAGCTTTTAGAAATCTTAAGTTTTAAATTTTACTGATTTGTCATTGAAATAAATCTTGACTCCCTGAAGATGCTTAAGTTTTGTGTCTATTTTTTAATTATCTTTTACTTAGGAGATCAGTTTTGCTTTGCATATTAATTTTTTCCCTTCAATTTCCTCTCATTCCCACAATTTTTTTTCATGAATAGGAAGTCTATTTGGAAACTCAGTGTTTGTGGCTGTCTTATTGACTGACTGTCAGGCTCCACTTGAATGTTGAGGAGTCACGATTCTGATCCTTTTCAGATCCTGTGGGAACAAAAAGTGCTGTGGGAGATAGGGTTTACTGTGTGTGCTGATCCCATATTCATTGCCCCAGTTCTTCTCAGGAAATTTATTTCCTCTTCCTTCCCTCCTTTTTCTTTTTTTCTTTCTAGTGGAAAATTAGATTAATTGAAGTGATTTATAATAGATTGATTTATAGTAGATATAACCCTCTTTCAGTTTTATGGAAGAGTCCCTTTGTTTGTTGTTCTCGTTTGTTCACTTTAAACCTGAAGGCTTTCTGTTCTGATGGACTGTTGAAGTAATTTTTCTGGTGCTAGTTTCCTTCCTGTTCTCTCTTTAGTATTGAGTTATTAATTAATATAAATTAGTCTTGGATGGGAACTTGTGCTTAATTAATATATTAAGAGTTCTCTTCTCTGTGCCTGTGGAACAATTGAGACCAGCTTTTGGCCAGCTGATTTTCAGAGCTCCTTTAGGTTGTTTAGTAGTTTTGAGATATCCTAGTGCCACCATAAATTGGTTATATTGACTGATTTGTGGTAGTGGGTGCTGTCTAAATTCCTCTACAATACATGTGGCTTCATGAGACTTTGTTCCTAGACTGGTAACCCAGGATGCTTGTGCCAGAAAATACAGACTTGATAACTCTGGTGTCTTGCTCATGAGGGTCTAGCTGTCACAGTTTGGTCTGAGGACAGGCAGATTAGCATCACTTAGAAACTTGTTAAAAATAAAGAATTTCAGGCCTCGTTTCAGCTATAACAGTACTTAATCAGAATCTGCATTTTAATGAAGTCCTCAGGCAAATTCTTAGTTATTAGAAGCCCTGATTAGACCTGGTCAGATATGATCCCACATGTGGATTCCATTATCGCAGGAATCAGACCTACAGTTGAGAATTTTTTCTTTCACCAGTATTGAGATATATTGCCAAATATGTGCTTGCCCACTGGTATTTTTATAATATCTCTCTTTAAGAGTTAATGTCTAGGCTGCTGATAATTACAGATATTTGTAGTGCCGTCATGTGGCTATCTTGGCAAGGAGAAATGGGGGAATCTGCACAATGTGTTGCTGAATAGTTTCATTTCCATAGGTGTCAGGATAATAAACTTTAAATGTCTCTCTGATGAAAGTGATCATTTTACCAAAGCCCTCTTCATAAGCACCAACAGCCTAATGAGCATTGTATTTATGCTGCTACCAGCTTGCCCCACACCACTCAATTTTCTAGATTTGTAAAGGAGAGTTGTTCTATATCGGTGTTTCTTTGACCCATTCTTAATTCTAATCAAAAACTATCTTAGATTGTTTGCCAACTGTTGTTGCTTGACCTCTGTTTCTGTCACCTTTTACATAACTTCAGTTTATGAAACTTAGGTTCAGGACCCCTTCACTGCACTGGGATGACAGATGGATAGGCCATTGGGGACTCCTAAATGTAGAGAATCTTTGTATAGTTCTGTCCATATGTGGAGGGGCCTTTTTTTTTTTGGACCTATCGATATTTCAGTGGGGAGAAATTTCCTAATTATGGATTGTGGTTCTAACTCTGCTGTTTCCCATTGAGGGTTTTTTAAGAGGCTTTTGGCTTTATGGGGTTCCTTGAAATTTTCTGTTTGTATTGGTTGTTGTTTGTTTGTTTACCATCTATCTTCTCTTATTTTTACTGTCTACATTACTCCATGCTAAGTTCTGGATGAACTGGTTTTTATTCTCAAAAGTATATTTTATAGCTAGGATTCAGAATATATTCATTTTTCTATCTTTTTTAAGTTTGATGTATAGCTACTAGTTTTGATTTCTTTATATTCTGGGTATTTTTTAATATTATTTTTCTTTATTAAAATTATGTTATACATGCTAATTTCAAAGTCCTTTTCAAGTTGCCCTGTCATTTCTATTTTCATGACAGAAATGATTATTCTCTTTGCAAAATCATCTTTAATGCAGGTTTATTGTTTTTATTGTTCTGTTTTTCACTTCCCCACCTTTTCCCTCTGTCTAGGTTGACAGAAACTACCCCACTCCCACCCCCCAGTTCAATACCAGATATTCATGTTAGTCATTCATGCTTTTCATAATGCCGAGATTTTGCAGGCGTGTCCTAGCCAGTTTGGCTTAGTCTTGTTCTTGGTTTTGGAATTGTCTCTGCTCTTTCTTGTGACTCTAGTATGCAGCTCCAAACATTGGTCATAATATTTTTAAGCATTTATTTTTGAGTGTGAGAGGTGGGAAGGGCATTTCAGCTGCCCATTTCAAATGGAAAAATTGATTTCAATCCCCTGTTTTATGTGGAGTGTCTTCTTTCCCCATTTAAAACCAGAAATTTAATCTCCAGCGGACACAGCTGAGTCCTTCCTTCCTTTTTGAGATATAATTCACATGTTAGTTTTCAGATTTACAGCATGATTTTACATATATACATACATATGTATATACATACAGTGAAATGATTACCCCAGTAGTCTAATATTCATCACCACACATAGTTACAGGTTTTGTTCTGACAAAGCTACTTTCTGATTCTAAAGCACATAAGGCTTTTAATTTTTGCCATCGCTCCATGTTATGTTTGGTATCCATAATACCTTTTTTTAATCTTGTTTTTGAGGTTGCATTTGTTTATAACACTATATGTTTTGGACTACAACACTTATTCAAACATATGATATGATACCCACCACCAGAGTATTAATAACCCTCCATCACATTATGGTTGTCTTATTTTTAAAATATTTAGGTCTTTTGAAAATTTTATTAAAATTTATTTATCTACCAGTATTATGTATTTGCAGTTGAGATGGGAGAGAAGGAAATTTCCTAATGAACTATTCCACTGTCTAGACTAGAAGTGCTTAAATTATTTTTTAGAAACATAACTCCTTATTATAGAAGTCTACTGGGAGAGGAGAAAGGCTAATGTTACACCAGACAGGATTATTTTGTTTTTAAATTTTTTAAAGATTTATTTATTTATGCATACAGAACTGGGGTACAGGCCATAAGTGGAGGGGCAGTGAGAAGATTCACCAGAAACAGAGTGGGGAGTAGAACAGGCCAACTGATGAAGTACACTGCTGAAGGGTATGGGCGAAACAGAAGTCTGCTGTGCCATATGGATCATCTCCTGATCAGGATCAAACTCACACTGAAGCAGCTCTGGCTGGCTTTCAATGCTGTGTCCTAACCTATTGTGCCACCAGGGAGGGCCCTGAGACAGAGTTATTTTAACAGAATCTGGGAAGAGAGCAGAGATGGAAGATTTGGGAGGTTGGGTATGAGATAGAACATTTTTTTATGGTAAAGGAATACTTTTTTAATATGGTAAAGGAATGAGTTGGGCAACAGAATGGAAATATGAAATATTTTATCAAGTTTTGAATGTAATGAGTGAAAGAAAATTTGTGCTACTGCTAGCAGAAACAGCATTGGGAGTAAAAGAAACAGTTGCCTACATCTATATTAGCATCATTGGTATATGTATGTATATGTATATGTATATGTGAATGACATTAATCAGGAGGAGTAGAAAGCAAAGAAAAAGTACCTGATAATGGAACTCAGGAGCCATTGGCCCTTAGAAGAGGTAAGCAAGGGGAGAAACCAGCAAATCAGACTATGGTATTCTTCAACAAAAATGAAAGGTAAAATATAAAATATACTTCTTTTCTAATAACTCTACTATGAACCCTCTTCTTGCATTCATCTTGTTCCCTATAATCTGGTTTATACCTCAGTGACCAACTCCAATGGACTTTCATGACCTCTCTGATTTGACTTTGACAGCAATGATAACTCTCTCCTTTGGGAGACACGAACCTCTTGTAGCCTTCTCTTTTGATCTTTGTGCTTCCTCTCTGTCACTATGTTGAAGGATACTTGGGTACAAAATCTTGTATGGTACATTTAATTTTTTATTTTGTTACAATGATTTGGATGCTTAAAGGCATTCCTTTTCATGAACTAGCCTTATCCTCACTTTTTATAGTATTTTCTAGGCCTTTACAGCTTAATTTTACTTTTCCATATAACTGTATTTTTCTTAGTATCCTAAGAACTTATTCAGTAGCCAACCCCGGTGTTGTAAAATCAAAACACTAGCAATAATACCACTTTTTTCTTCATTCTATTTTTTATTCTTACCTATCAAGGCAATTTTTGTTTTGTTTTGTTTTAAAGATTTATTTATTCAAGGCCTTCCCTGGTGGCACAGCGGTTTAAAGCACAGCACAAAGAAGCTTAAGCCTGTTTCGCATGAGTTCAATCCCCGCCTGCCCCGAGGAGATCCACATGGCGCGGCAGACCTCTCCTGAACTGCCCGCTGAAAAAAAAAAGATTTATTTATTCATGCAGAACTGGGGTACAGGCCAGAGATGCGGAGGGTGAGAGGATTCACCAGAGACAGAGTGGGGTGCAGAACAGGCAGATCGAAGAAGTACACTGCTGAGGGAAGCAGTGGGCGGTTCAGGAGAGGTCTGCCATGCCATGTGGTCACCTCCAGGGCAGGTGGGGATCAAATTCATGCGGAAGTGACTTTAGCTTCTCAGTGCTGTGCTTTAACCCACTGAGCCACCAGGGAGGGCCTTGTTTTGTTTTTTAATCCACAAGCCCAATTAGTCTTATAGACACTAAACAAATTCTCACTGATGGTTCAGCAGGTACTTTAAGAAGAGTTTCATGTTACCTGGTAAATTATACAACATTTATAAATTCTGTGAAGTTTTACAGTTAATTATCATTTTGTAATGTATTATCCAGCTTTATTATTTTTTTAACGGCCACAATTTGGCACTGTGACAATAGTGCACTTAGTTTTCTAAAATTGCTAATGCATCACCTTAAATACTTATTTCCAGAGCAGGGATTGCCATAGACATAGGTGGCAGTCTACTGGCTAAGTTGGTAAGGAGGCTAATGGTCTCAAAGCTTAACTAAAAATAGCATCCCCAGTTATTCTTTTGCTAACCTAAACCTTAGCTGCAATTTTACTAGTAGTAGTAGTTTATAACCCATCTGTTTCTAGTTATTTTAGATAAGAGTTCATAGACCTGTATTTTAAATTATTTGACTAAGGTATATAGCTAACAGTAAAGCCAGAAGCAGACAAGTTAAATCTTATCATTGTTGCTCTATTTTATATTCTTAAACTGCTCTGTGTATTGTCTTTATAGGTTAAGTTAAAAGCAATTCTTTGTCCTTCACCCCATAATCTCTCTTCTCTCTGCTCATTTTTTGGGGGATCATTTATTTTTACATATTTGTAGAGGAAGATAGATTATAAATAATTGATTTCTAGAAAAGTTCTCTAAATAAAAGTACAATACTGTAAATCGGTGACAAAAAGTATGAGATATATTTTTACTAAGAAATGAAAACCCAGTCAGATTTACTTCATAACATAGATGAAAACTGCCACTTCCTTATAGAAAAAGGTAGCTCAAGAGAAAAGGACAAAAAATAGAGAAAAGTCATTTTCCTTTACAGTGTAAAGGGGAAAAAAATAAAGATGAAGAGGATTGAGGAGAGTAGTTCTTATACTGTCAAAAACAAATACACATTCACTATACTTTTCTGAATGCCAGTTTTCCTTAAAAAAAGTTGCAAAATAGAATGAGAAGTAGAAGACACTAGTTTAAAATGCATCATTATTTTTTAAGGTTATATATGCTAAAGACATGGTTATTAGGAAGTTTATGGCACTTTAGATTTTAAGATAAAAATCCATTTAATTTTATACCTTTTTTGTATCTCTCGATATATGCAGCCAGACTTAGAAAAGCACATTTATTGTTGACATTGCATACTAATTTTGTAATTCTTACAATTACAGATTTCTCTAAATGGATTTCTTCCAAAATATGATGCAGATCACTCGTTTACAAGTCTTTCAACCCCAGAAAGGAGTTTCATCTTTATAAACAGTCGACCAGTACACCAAAAAGACATACTAAAGGTAATCTGTCTTAGATTTTAGAATTTATTTTAGAAAAAAATACCACTGGATCAGAAATAGAAATTGGCTTTTTGTTATTTGTCAACTTGTCTGAAGTACTAATTCTGAGAATTTGCTTTAAAATAATGGAAAGGAAGAATGGGACACAATAACATTCTGTAAGCATTGTGCTAAGTATCTTACATATATCCATTGACTTTTCACAACAACTCTGTGACGAAATATCACTTTTATGTCAAATGAAAAAACTGATATTTTAGTGAGTTTTATAAACTACATAGCCAGTTGATTAACAGAGTTTAGATTTTCAAAACTTCCACAACTCTGTGATCTTTTCTTCATGAAGTCAGCACTGGATTGGGTATTTGTACTTTTTTATTATTATTATTTTTAATTAATTATTTTTTTTTTTACATCACTGTAGTTCCCAGAGTTCTCCCACCATCATATCACCTGTGAACAATCACCATATTCCCCTGTGTTCATGGTTCCTGTTTCCTGTTTTGACCCCGTTTCTACCCCCTTCTTTGCTATATATCTCATCTCTGTGGTCACCTTATTTGTATTCTCTTAACCTATTGTTTCGTTTCCTTATATCCCACATGTAAGTGAAGCCATCCAGTATTTATCTTTTTCCTTCTGATTAATTTTGGCTGGTATCCCTTCCAGCTTGAATGCTTGTACTTCATTGGATTTAAGGTTTCTAGATGCATATTACTTTTTAGGTACTCTTTTTTTCTTAATACACAGCTGCATTCTCTCAGTTTCACAGTTGAATATGCTCCTTTGGTCATATCTTAAGAGTGACAATATTGACTATATTTTCACGGTGTTTTATCTTTTATTCATTACATATTTTTTAGTTAATCCGACATCATTACAATCTGAAATGCCTAAAGGAATCTACTCGTTTGTATCCCATTTTCTTTTTGAAAATTGAAGTTCCTACAGCTGATGTGGATGTAAATTTAACACCAGATAAAAGTCAAGTATTATTACACAATAAGGTAATCTTTTCCAGTACAATTTTTTGTATTTATACTATTTATAAACTTACAAAGTCCTAGCCACTTTAATGTATCAAAGGGAGATTCTTGTTTATATTTTTGGTTTTAATATTTCAAATTCTGTTTTATTCATAATTTCCCCTAATATTTGTTAACTTGTATTTTTAGGAATCTATTTTAATTGCTCTTGAAAATCTGATGACGACTTGTTATGGATCAGTACCTGGTACAAATTCTAATGAGAATAATAAAACAGATGTTTCCTCAGCTGACATGATTGTTAGTAAGATAGCAGAAACAGATGTCCTTTCAAATAAGATAGAATCATCTGGAAATAATTACGCAAATGTTGATACTTCAACCATTTCTTTACAAAACGCAATATATAATGATGAATCTGGAAGAAGCACTAATTGTTCAAATAATCAGATAAGTATTGATGACCATTATGATGATCATTTCAGCCATGAACTTTCTAGCATTGATATGAACACTAAAAATACATTTCAAGAAACCCCAAAGGATAATTTATCAAGTGAGGAAGTCCAGAAGGACAATAGCAAAACTTGTTTTATAGGTTCTGTTGACCATGTCGTCGCAGAAAATGGCAATAAAAGCCTTATAGATCAGAATGGGAAAAATAAGAAAGAAATAGTTCCTGAGAAGTCTTTTGAAATTTGTGCAGACGACTGGAGCAAGGGAAATGTACTTAATTCAGTGGGAGAAAACATTGAACCAGTGAAAATTTTAGTGCCTCAAGAAAGTTTAACAAGTAAAGTAAGTGATAATAATCATTCAAGCCCTGAGCCAAAAATTCTCAGTGAAGGCCCATGTAACAAAAAATCAAATGTGGTAGATAATAAATCTGGACAGCTTACTGCTTATGATTTAATTAGCAATCGAGTAATAAAGAAGCCCATGTCAGCAAGTGCCCTCTTTGTTCAAGATCATCGAGCTCAGTTTCTCACAGAAAACACTAAGAGCAGTTTGGAGGATGCAACAGTACAGATTGAAGAACTGTGGAAGACATTGAGTGAAGAGGAAAAATTGAAGTAAGTTTCCAGAGCTAGCATATGATCTGAATGTTCAGATATTTCCATTCTATATGACTCACTGGGTCATAAAAAAAATCCTTTAAAAAATTATTTATGGAAAAACTGATTGTAATATGCCTTTTAACTTGGCTAGTTAAACCTTGTTTTTCTGGTATGTTTTTGTTAATTTAGAATTTTTTTTATTTTGTTTTGATATAAACCTTAACTGCTTTCTGACTTGTTAGATTTTTTTAAACATTTTCTATTCCTCCTTCTCCTTCCTTTTATGTTAACCTATGCAGAACTTCTACTGTTTTATACCTATGCATTAGAACAGTTTTAACAGTGATTTTGTTTAAAGATTTAGTTATTTATATATACAGAACTGTGATAAAGAGGTGAGGGAGGTGAGAAGATTCACCAGAGACAGAGTGGAGAGCTGAACAGGCAAGACTGACAAAGTACACTACTGAAGGGAGCAGTGGGCTGCTCAGAAGAGGTCTGCCCCGCCATGTGGGTCCCTGGCTTGGGTCAAACTGCAGTGGTTGGTTGCTTCATAGTGCTGTGCCTTAACCAGTTGCACCACCAGGGAGTGCCCACAACAGTGATGTTTTTAAGAAATATTTTCACTCCTTTAATGTTTCTAACTGACTTAGGACACTTATTATAAAAACAAACTATTTTGAATGATCTATTACATCAGGAAATGAAAGAAGGGAGTTATATTTCCAATCATGTATTATTATACGACATCTCAATGTCATGCCAAAATCTACAACCCAAAGTTTGTATTTGGTGATAAAATATATGGATAAACTGTTTTTTTCCCCCATTTTATTCAGTTTTAAAAGAGACAGTTAAAAATGGTAAAGACCGGCCCTCCCTGGTGGCGCAGTGGGTTAAAGCACAGCACTGAGAATCTAAAGCCGCTTCCGCGTGAGTTCGATTCCCGCCTGCCCCGGAGGTGACCACATGGTGTGGCAGACCTCTCCTGACCTGCCCGCTGCTCCCCTCAGCAGTGTACTTCATCGATCTTCCTGTTCTGTTCCCCACTCTGCCTCTGGCCTGTACCCCAGTTCTGTATGCACAAATAAATAAATCTTTAAAAAAAAAATGGTAAAGACCACTACTTAAACACCTGTAGGCAAAAAAAAACCTCCACAAATTCTCTCTTCACTTTTTATTTTGGAGGAAGGGGAGCTGGAGGTGGGAATGTTGGTTGTTTCTTATTTTTTCTCTAAACATCAATACAAGTATACAAGAATGAACCCTTTTGCACCAGGTAGGTAGTTAGCTTATGGTCAGTCTTGCTTCATCCATACCTCCATTCACTTCATTGCTTCTCTTTTCAGAACCAAAAACTCAAAGTGGGACCCACACATAACAGATTTTTAGCAAATGGTGGATATTATCACTATGCTAGATGCTAATTTTGTGTCAATGCATGTGACTTTTCAATTTTGCCAGTACCATTTGTTGAAGAGGCTTCCGTTTCTCCAGTTGTAAGGTTGTGGTTTCTTTGTCATAGATTAACTGTCGATATATATATGATTTTAATTCTAAGCTTTCAATTCTGTTCCATTGGTCTTGTTTCTAATTTTGTTCCAGTACCAAATTGTTTTGAGTACTACCCTTGTAGTATAATTTGAATTCTAATTTTGTAATACTTCCGTTTTTCATCTTTTCTCTCAGGATCACTTTGACTATTGGAGGTCTTTAGTGGTTCCATACAAATATACAATTATTTCTTTGAAAAACATCCTTGGGAATTTTATTGGTATTGCATTGAATTTATAAATTACTTTAGGTATATGCCCCTTTTAAGAGTGTATACTCATTAAACCCACAGACACAGGATATTTTCCCATTTCTTTGTGTCTTTTATTTCCTTTAACAGTGTCTTATGTTTACGCCTATGTATTTCATTCTATTTGGTGCAATTGTAAATGGGATTGTTTCCTTTCTCTTTCCTCTAATTGTTTGCATATTGAAGCACAATAGCTATTTATATATTAATTTTGTATCCATATTAGCCATTTATTATTTCTACTAGTTTTTTGGTGGTCTTTGAGATTTTCTGTGATTATTATCATATCTGAAAATAGTGAATGTTTTATTCTTTTTTGGTTTCCTTTCCCTTTTTTTTTTTTTTTTTTTTTTCTTTTTTTTTTTTTTTTTTTTTTTTTTGTCTAAGTGCACTGTCTAGCACTTCCAGTGCCGTTTTGAACAGTAGCAGAGATAGTGGACAGCCTAGTCTTTTTCCCTGAGGAGAAATGCTTAGTTTTTCTTAATTGAGTATGATGCTAGCTGTAGGTTTGTCCTATGTGACCTTTATTAGATTAAGATTTGTTCCTCTTTCCAATGTATTGAGATTTTCTATCATAAATGGTGTTGAGTGTTGTAACTACTTTTTCAGTGAACAGGAGTGGGGCTGGGTTGGAGGCCACAAAACTTGTGAGTATGTTCAGGGCATCCTTTCCCCTAACAATATGACCATGTGATTTTTATCTTTCTGTAGCCGTCGATAAGATAAATTACACATTGCTGTTGAGTATGTTAAATCAGCCTTGCATCCCTGGAGTGAATCCCATTAATGTATGACTGGATTTAATTTGCCAAGATCTTATTAATAAGGCTTTTTGCATATATGCTGATCAGAAATATTGGTCTGTAGTTGTGTGTGTGTGTGTGTGTATACACTTGTATGCTGTTCTTACCTGATTCTGGGGTCAGAGTAATATTGCCTTCATAGAATGTGTTTTGAATTATTCCCCCTGCCCCTGAGCATTCTTTTCTCTTGACTGCTTTCAGAATGTCAACTTTTTCAGTAGTGTGATTCTAATATCCAGTCTGTTATTCAGATTGGATAATTTTTATCATTTCTCTTATAACTCATAGGCCCTTTCTGTACTATCTCTGATCTACACTTAAACCTACCTAGTGAGGGCCTTCCCTGGTGGTGCAGCGGGTTAAGCACAGCGCTTAAAGCTGCTGCTGCTTCAGTGCAAATTTGATCCCCAGCCAGGAGGTGATCCACATGCACATAAGACCTCTCCTGTCTCGCCCACTGCTCCCCTCAGCAGTGTACTTCATCAGTCGGCCTGTTCTGCTCCCCACTCTGTCTTTGGTGAATCCTCTCACTGCCCCTGCACCTCTGGCCTGTACCCCAGTTCTGTATGCATAAATAAATAAATTTTAAAAAAAAAAAACCCTACCTAGTGAATTTTTCATTTTAAATATTGTATTTCTTTAGTACCAGTATTTTTATTTCTACTTGTTTCTTTTTATAATTTCCAAATCTGTTGAGATTTCACCTTCTTTTCTCTCGTTATCATCATAATTTTCTTTAAGCTCTTAAGTCTTTATAAAGACTTAATATATTCTGGGTTTTGGCAAATTCTAACACTTGGGTCATCTTGATATTAATTTCTATTGACTGCTTTTTCTCTTGAGCATGACTCACATTTTCCAGTTTTACTGTTTCAGTGATGGCATTTGACTGTATATTTATTGATAATCTTATCTTCAAAAAAGTGTTGACTTTTGTTCAACCAGGTATTTAAGTTTCTGACAAATCACCTGAAGCTTGTATAGGTTTTGTTTTATACTTCATTAGGGAGAGACATTAAATTTTGCCCGTAGTCCTAGGGCATCTTCTTAGTTCCAGAATATAGTTTTGTTTTGTTTTGTTTTTACTTCTAAGAAAAAATTTTGCCTTCAATTTTAATTGAAAGTCAGAGTATTTACTAAGTCATCTAATTATGTGGAATTCAAATTCCAAACTCTCACTTCCTTTGAAATGGGCAGCCACGGAAATCTCTGTTTAGCTCATTTAACCTTCCAAAGGTTGTTTTCCTCCAGCCTCCCACTTATGGGGTTTTCTGGATTTTGTCCCTAAAGGAGCTCTATGTTCTGATGACTTAGACTAGAAAGAGTCTAGCTTTCAGATTGCATTCTTGCCATTTTCCTTTAATATTGGTGACTTCACTCTGGATAAAGATTGTACAAATATGAATCTCCCAGTTTCTGCCTCCTTTTGATTGCTCTGTAGTACTTTTAAAAATGAAAAAAAATAAGATGATTATTTTGTTAAGAGTTTATATGTATATAACTATATGAAGATGGGTTAGTACAGTACACACTCCATCATTATCAGATCTGTAATGGGCAACTTTTTTTTTTTTTAAGATTTATTTATTCATACAGAACTGGGATAAAGGCCAGAGATGCAGAGGGTGAGAGGATTCATCAGAGACAGAGTGGGGAGCAAAACAGGCAGATCAACCAAGTACACTGCTGAGGGGAGCAGGAGAAGTCTGCCTAGCCATGTGTATCTCCTCCTGGGCAGGCGGGGATCTAACTCATGCGGAAGTGGCTTAAGCTTCTTAGTGCTGTGCTTTAATCTGCTGCGCTACCAGGGAGGGCGGACAACTATTTTTTTTTTAACTTACGTTAGATGTTTAATATATTTCTTATTATGACCTCATTTTTCTTTTTTATTTCTATTCATAGATATGAAGAGAAGGCTACTAAAGATTTGGAGCGGTACAATAAGCAAATTAAGAAAGCCATTGAACAGGAGCCACAAATACCATTAAAAGATGGCAGAAAAAAGATTAAGCCTGCATGGAATTTGGCACAGAAGCACAAGTTGAAAACCTCATTATCTAATCAGTCAAAACTTGATGAACTCTTTCAATCTCAAATTGAAAAAAAAAAGAGCCAAAACATTAGAACAGTTCAGATCCCCTTTTCAATGGAAAACTTAAAAAACAAAATGCAGAAACATAAGAAATTTGACTTAGAAGAGAATGATGAATTTTGTTTGATCCATAATCTCAAATTTCCTGATGCTTGGCTAATTTCATCTAAAACAGAGGTAATGTTATTAAACCCATATAGAGTGGAAGAAGCCCTGCTATTTAAAAGACTTCTTGAGAATCATCAACTTCCTGCGGAGCCACTGGAACAACCAATTATATTAACAGAGAGGTATAGTTAAAGTAACCTTTTTTACTCCAAAAACATTTATTAATCCATATTAGATTAAAAATTGAGGTTGAAAGTTTAATGTTTCCTAGTAGGGAAAAAAGTATTTATTTAAAAAGCAGTATTTATTTTTTAGATTTGCTTCTTGAAAATTGGTTTCTAACGTTCAATGGAATTATGTTTTAGAATATGTATTTTACTTTTGCAGTTACTTTGTGACTTCCTTAAGAAATTTTGAAATTAGGTTGCCATAACTCTCCTGTATGGGAGATTCTATTTTTAACATTTCATCCATTTTAACATATTTATCCACTTAAAATGGAATTATATAGTGAGTACTGTTATCAACAAATGTCAAGCTTTTCTACATTTGCTCTCTACTTTTATATACATATGTATATGCATATTTTCTTTCCTTTGTTTAGTATTTAAAAAAATTTATATTCCTACATTATTTAATAGATTTATCTCAAAAATGGCTATTTTTCTAACATGTCCTTTTTTCAGACACATTTGTTGGCATTCTTCCCTATTTTCTTAAACTTTTGTTTATAGTTTGTAAATTTCTTATTTAATTTGCATTTAAACAAGGCCCAATCATTATATTTCTTGTCTCTTAAATCTCTCCTGTTATCACATTATTCTTTATTGAATTACTTCATTGACCATCTCATTGTTTTGATTAATGTCTTTGCCTCCTTGAGGTATTGTGTAACTTGCTTTTACCTCTCCTCAAGTGGAAATTAGCTCAGGAAGATTGCATAGATTTAGTTTCTACTTTCAGGTAAAAATGATTTGTGGTGGATGTGATGTGCTTCATAATTCATTAAATCAAAAGGCTCTTATCACTGTGTCAGTTGCTGACAAGCCTGTCCTATACCTGAGAGTTCTCCCGCACCCTTTTCATTTCATGGCTTCACTCACTGATGATTGTTGCCTGAATTATTTTTATTACCGATTGTAATGTGGGTTATTTCTTTTTGATATCCTGCATGGACAAATGCTTTTCTGTAAATAGGAATAACTATTAACATTTCCCTTTTTTATACATAATAATCTTTTTGTGCTAAAATGTTTTTAATAATATTTTTCTTTGTAATCTTCTGTTATTCAAAAACAAATATTTGAAACACTATTATTTTGTACCCATGTTAGCCTGAAAAGAATTTTTTCTTATTTGAATGTAGACAACAACAAAGCTTAATTGAAAATTGTTTTCGCCTTTTTCTGAAATGGGACATTCTCATCAATTAATAATGTAAATCTTTTTAAACTGAATCTTGGACAGGGTAGTTATAAGTTGGGTTCCATTTTCTCACCAGAGTTCTGACCCAGATTGCATTTTTTATTTCTGAGTAGAGTAATTTTGATATCTATAAAATATAAAATGAGTCATCAAGAATTATAATGATTGTTGATATTGAGCTCTTATTATTTGATAGAATCTTTGTGAAGCCCTTTCCTGTAATCATCTTATTTTCAAACCTTATGCAAGAAAGGTACTGTCATTATCCATATGTTTTATATGAAGAAACTGTACTGAAACACAGGATAGTTAAGTAACTTAACAATATCTATACAGGCAGAAAATAAGCAGTGGACTCAAAATTCCAATCTAGACAGTAACATATGTCATTAGTTGTTGTGCTGTATCATCATCATCCCCACTACCAACTCTGGCTCTCAGATTGATTATATGAATGTTGCTTTTACGAATGTACTCATGTAGGATGCATTACATATATATATATATCCAAAGCCATCCTCTCAATATCTGTTCTCATAGCCAACTGGATCTTCAACCTTTTAGATGTCATAAACAGACATTTATTCATTTTTTCAAGGGATACAGGGATAATGAAGAAATAGCAACTCATCATCCTTCCTAAGAATATAAACAATGCCTTGCATACCTAAGACAAATAGTCACTGAATGAATAGGAAGTGGTAACAACCCACCTGTGAATCCCAGAAACATCTTCTCTTAATGATAAGTTCTGAAGCACCTTAACCAATCCTAAAACCAACATGAAAGATTAATTTGTGCAATAAATAATTTTGACTGCCTCAAAATTTTGTTTATAGCCCTTATCATTCAGAACCATTTTGTATACTTACTACCTTTCACTAATATGCCATATGTACAGTTGACTGAAGGATGCTCTCCCAAATTTAAAAAACTATTAACTTATCTTAGGTTTCTGGGGGTGGGGAGGAGATACATGCTGATCTTTTTATTACTGATGAAACCTTGACTAGCAATTGAAAATTATGTACAGTGGACCACTTGAATAGCTTAAGAGTATTGTGTCTGCTTTAAAAGTGTAAAGGGGCATTACTTGTAAATAAAGTTTTCATTTTGTATTATATGGAGAGAGAGCAGAGTTTCTGATTGCACATTTAGTTTGTAAATTTGAGATGTCTGTCTGCTGTATTTATTCTTCCTTCTTTCTGTATGCTATATGCAGTAGACCTTCTACAAACTATAAACAGAAATATTAAAAATTAAGTTTCTCACAGAGCTACTTGTAACTTTGTGTTTTGGTTTCTAGTAATAACGCTTTAAAGGTCCCTTAGATTAACTTTTTTTCCATGAGTCCTTGATTTTATTTTACATATTTAATAAATTAAAAGGCCATCCTTTTTTTCTTCCCCAGTCTTTTAAATGGATCTCATTATTTAGAGATTTTATATAAAATGACATCAGGTGACCAGAGATGCAGTGGGTCAACTTACCTCTCTGATCCTCGTCTTACAGCAAATGGTTTCAAGATAAAATTGATTCCAGGTATGATTATGTATTGTAAGATTTTGTGACTTGGAGAAATAAGTCTTGATGCAAGAGTTTGAGTTACATAATTTACAGCTATGAAAAGTCAAGGAAGGTTACCTTTACCTGAAAAAAGCCAGTTTTTGGTATCTGTCTATTCCTTGCATTTTCATTTTCTTAAATAATCAAGTAGCTTAATAGTAACTTTTGCCATCATTCATTATAGAATTCAAACTATGAAACTAAATTATTAAGTAGTCCTTTATTTAATGAAACACAAATACTTTAAATACTGTAATGCCCTATCACAAATGCACATATTCTTTCCTTTTAAAAAGCATTTACTTGTTTTGCTGATTAGACTTCTAATAACAGTATTATATCTGGAGAATGAATGTTATGATTCCATTGCTTTGCTTTGATAACATTAACTACTTACATTTACTGGGTGGGGAGAAAAACAAAAAATCCTTTTGGCTAAGTCGACTTTGATTTTCCTGGCTAGCCCCTTTTTCTGTTCTCTCATAGTTTCCATACTTAACTCCCCTCTGCCTTAGCTTCCTAGATATATCTTGTTTAATTATTTCTCTTCATCTAAAACCAAGGTACACACAGGCACTAAGAAGAGTGATTCCACCTCCTTCCTCCTTGCCTACCTCTAAACTTACTATGACCAGTGTACAGAGCATTAAGTTTAACCAAAAGTGTTTTAAGATAGCTAAAACAATATTGCACTGACAAGTGAAAAGAAGTAAAAACAATGTACAGTACCATCAAGTTAGATAAATACAGACAATGCTTCATTATTTCAAGTTTTAACTTTTACCTGACTTTTACAGTTTCAAGGATACCTTCTGTAAACTTGTTACCTCCTACCTCAATCCCAATATTTATATTTGGAATAAAGTAAGTTCAAATTTCAAGTCTTTGATTTAAAAACAGGTGTTCCTGGAAAAATCATTTGTCCTCAGTGTTTCTTAATCAGTAACAAGCAGCAATTATTAATAATTATGTACATGACACGTTCTAAAGTATTAAATGTTTTAATTTATTTAATGCTATTATTAAGACCTAAGGAAAGTTTTTAGAACTGTGCCTTGTTTTACAGATGGCAAAAAAATCAAGACAGAGAGAAGAATTTTCCTAAGGGTAGATATTTGGTATTAGAACCAGGTCTTGAGCCCATACAGTATGTTCTCAAAACCTAGCTCTTAAGTAATTCTTGTATTGTTTCCCTATTAAAATTGATATATTTACTTAATAGCATAATTGTGAACATTTAACAAGGTACTTACATAAAGCAATTTGGATAATATTTGTCAATAATAAGTGTTCAGATACTCTCTTTTCTTTCCATCTCCCAGTCTCCCATTTGACCAGAACCAACTTGTATGAGTTCATTTAGTCCTATAAATCACCATCCCCTAGATCCTCAATTATATTTTTAATTTATTTGAAGTGTGAAGCAACTGTTGTATATGTTTGTGTATAAAGTGATATTTTTTTCTTGACCTGTTATTCTAATTAGCTATGTAACATTGGTGTCAGGTGCCATTTGTCCATGGAAAATATTACAGCAACTTTTTTTTTTTTAACTTTCGTAAACTATCCTGTCTGTTCCCAGAACATGTTTATTTTTGAGGTCCCCAGTGAGTTTCTGTTTGACAGATGCTTTCAACTCTTAGTTTATAGATCATGTTTTTAAATCCTGTTGAGTGCCAGGTACTTTTCATGGTACCAAAGGTATAAAATTGAAACTCATCTGCAAACTAACTTGATTTGATTGGGATTAACTTTACTTATATTATCATCAGAGCTATTTTTCTTGTCATTTTAACAGATCAAATTAAACTTTTCTGTTTTCTTTCATTAATTTTTATATCTTTTTTTTTAGGGATAGTTTTGTTATATTGGATTAATTAGGGGTCAACTGTTTGCTAGTTGTCACAAAGCATCTTTGGATAAAAATAAAGGCCTTTAAAGTAAAGGCCTTTAATAAATGCATCTGATTTAGAGGGAAAAGATTCAAATGTGACCCTAAGCACTTTGTTAATGGTATAGCTTTCTATTCTATATCATTAACAATTCTATGTATTAGGAAGTAAAAATTTATTATTCATTTCAAATATTTTCCCTTAAAATTAGGAAACATTTTACAGAACTTCATGGGAATTTCTTTAGGATTTATCATTATATAGTTTAAATGTGTATGTTAAATTTTCCATATCTGAGTTTTGCAAGCACAGACATTAAAGTATTGTTAAGTTTCCTCATCTGTTTCCAAATACTTTTTACCCATATCTATCACTAATTCTGTGAAACGTGTATAATTTTCTGGGACAAATGTAGTCTTATTAGATTTTTTTAATCTAATTGTACTATAAAAGATATAGAGCCAGCAATAATAAAACATCTCTTCTACAATATTTTTATAGATTTTCATATCTTTATATATGTAAGGTCTGAACTCTAGAATATTCTGCTACTTCTTAACCCTGTGTCAAGTCATCCCATTTTGCTCAAACTCTCATTTTGATTACCCTTCACTAAACTCCATATTTTATCCCTTAATGTTTGTGTCTTCTTAGCCTCTAATAGTTTTCTGGTAAAAATATTGGTATACCTGTTATGCATCATTATAGCTGCCTTCCAGTCAAGCAGCTGGTCATTATCTAGGAAAAGGTCAGGGACAGAAAGTATTGCCATCTCACAGTCTAGCTCCTTTTTTTACTCATCCATTAAAGGTACCAATTTGCAAGACTTCGATTGTCTTTCTTTACTTCGAAGTGATACAGTGTGAACTTTAATATAAGAACACCATTAACAGACATAGCTAAAGAACACATAGCTAAAAAGTCTCTGCTACTTTCCAAAGCTATAAAACAATTTTAAAACCAAATGTGATCCTTTAGAATATATGCTGTTAGGGTATGCCAAGCATGTAACTAGTTTTTAGTTTTATTTCAGTTGTTAAATTATTAAAAGTAGTTTAAATAGCTTGACTATTTTAAACATTGTCCTACTAAAGTATTTTGAACTAGCATTATTTCCTCAAATTGAATCTATTAATAAATACTTGCTATGGTAGCAGTCACTTTATATTAAAATAAACTGTCAAATCAGTACTTTGTACACCTTAAACTTGCATTGTTATATTTCAATTTTGTCTAAATAGAGCTGGAAACCTTATGATTATTTTTGAATTTTTAAGTCAAAATATGTCCTTTAAATTAGATGTTAAGTCAGTAGGGCAATTTGAACAGCAACAGTTGTTAAAACACTTAAACCAGTTTTATTTTAATAAATATCATGGGACTCAATTTTCTCTCCAAAGTAAGAAATGTTCTAAACAAATGTGGAAAACAGAACAGCAATAACTAAGGTTAAATTAAATGATATAAAGTACATGTGGTATCTATGAGCACTTATGATTTAATGTGAAATCCTACAGGAAATTATTATTTGTTCTCTGACCAAAGAACAAAACTTTGTTTCCACTATATTAAATTCTAATGAGAGGTCTCTAAATGTTTTAACAGTGATCTTGTTCTTAATAGATATTTTCTGGAATACAATTTAAGCTGTGTCTGTGATTTTCTTTTTTCTTTCAGGAGTTTCCATTGCTGAAAACTACTTGGAAATAGAAGGACTGGCTAATTGCCTCCCATTCTATGGAGTGATGGATTTAAAGGAAATTCTTAATGCTATATTAAGCAAAAATGCAAAGGAAGTTTATGAATGTAGACCTCGCAAAGTGATAAGTTATTTAGAGGTATACATTATTAGTTTAAATTGTTTAATTAGGTTTTAAGATACTTATTTCTTAATAAAATAGAAAATGGTTTTAAGATGGTAGTTTTAGCAAGGTTTATTTGTTTGCAAGAAGGAAATGCTATTAAGAAACTCCATTAAAAGTTTTACATCATAGGTTGTGATAATCTGTCATAAATCCTTACTTTAACATTATTTGTTAAATTAAATATTGGGGAAGAGCTCTATGAATTAGAAGTTATATAGTGATCTCTTTTAGAAGGGATTCAAATTCATTGAACCTTTATACCAACTACTTGGCAAAAAAAACCCAAAAACTGTAGTATATTTTAAAACCTGGTAAGAGTAGAGAAAATATGAAAGACTATTGAATAAAGGGAAATTTTGGTTTTCTAGTAATACCTACTACAATAAAAAATGTAACTAGGGTAAAAAATAAATTCAAAGGTAATGAATGGAGGAAAATATCAATTTTTAAATGTCTAAGTAAAGGGAAGTGTTGGGAAAATAGTAGGGATATCTCTAGGTTTAGAGTTCTAGCCATCCCTCAAGTTGACTGGCATTATTTCAAAAAGAATGGGAGAAGAAGGATAGTAGGAATAATATTAGAATTTTAAAATCTTTGAACTACATGTAAAAAAATAAAATAAACAAGCTTTGCTACTATTTTACCCACAAATTCTCAGTATTTCCTTTCTCAGACCAAACTTCGGAGATTGTCCCGGCGTCTGCATCCCTCGTAACCAAATAGTAAAGCCATAAGCAAACCTTGACCCCAGCTCTAGCTCATGTTAGATGTCTTTCTACTGCTGTCACCCTTCTCAGAAACCTACCTGAACAGCAGCAATTGCCCGCAGTCCTCTCTTTTTGACCTGTCTCAAACAGTTCTTCACACAGCAACTGGACTGATTATTTTCAAATGTGAAATAAATGCCTGGTTCTTTCTTTAAAATCCTTTGGTTACTTACCTATGCATTCAGATTGATACCCAAATTGCTTACCCTGTATAACCCCCTTTCTTGTTCCTGTCTTCCCTTTAGTAGCTCATGCATACACAGTTTGAATCTGTTCCCTCTGCCTGAAATGATTTTCATTCCCCATGATCTTTGCATCATAGCTTATTATTTAAATTAGAATTTAACTGTCACTTCAAGGTGGTAACAGTCACTCTCTGTCATGTTCCTTAGTTTAATTTTGTGCATTTTTTACTCCCTGAAATTTTATCTTTTTACTTTTCTGTTTTTCTGTACTACAAGATACATTTACAAGAGTGAGGACCAGGTTTGTTTGTAGTCCTAGAGCCACAACGACTACCACATGGTTGGTACTTACTAAATGTTTGATAAGTCAGTGAGTAATAAAATAATGCAGTTAATATTCTGTATTCCTTCTTGCCAGGAATAACATGTTTTCTACTTCAGGGAATAACAATAAAATGAATGGCTTTCTCTTCCACAGGGAGAAGCAGTGCGTCTATCTAGACAATTACCCATGTATTTATCAAAAGAGGATATCCAAGAGATTGTCTACAGAATGAAATGCCAATTTGGAAATGAAATTAAAGGATGTGTTCATGGCCGCCCGTTTTTCCATCATTTAACCCATATTCCAGAAGCTTCATGAGTAAATGTTTAAGACAACTAGTATTGAAATTAAATTGTCATAAAATAATATGGGTCAGTTTTTAAATCATCTTTGTAATATCATGTGTTAAATGCTTATTTTGTAAGAATCACTGACTTGTTTGTATATTGAAAAAAATTACCAAAACTAGAACGCTTAAATAAATATAGATAATTCATTTTATATTCAAGAAACAATTCAAAACATAATTATTGGTTGAAAACTCCAAAATAGAAGATACCTAATGTTATTGGATGGTTGACTTACTAGGTGCTGTGGACTGAATTGTATGACACCCAATTTCATAAGTTGGAGCCCTAACCTTCAATGCAGTGGTACTTGGAGACGGGTTCTTTAGCCAGATAATTGTGTTTAGATGAAGTCACAGGAGTGCAGCTATTGTTATAAGATTAGTGCCCTTATCAGAAGAGGCACAGGAGAATTTTCTTTCTGTTTCTCCTTGTCCCTCACCACTCTCATGTGAGGACATAGAAGGTGACCTTCTAAAATCCAGGAAGAGCACTCACCTCAGAAATCAAAGACGCTGACATCTTCATCTTGAACTTCTAGCTTCCAAAACAGAAAATAAATGTCTGTTGTTTAGGTTATGCCACCAAGGAGTGCCTGTCCAACTTATTTAAAGTAGGATGGACCAATAATTGGAAAAAAGAGAACATGAGTTTCAGTTGTTGGACCAGCTTTGAGCTATAACATTTTTTTTTAAGAGTTATTTACTTGTGCATACAGAACTGTGGCACAGGCCAGAAGTGCGGGGGCTGTGAGAGGCTTTACCTGAGACAGAGTGAGGAGCAGAACAGGCAGATCGAGCAAGTACACTGCTGAGCAGAGCAGTGGTAGGGCCAGGAGAGGTCTGCCTGGCAGCGTTGGTCACCTCTGGGACAGGCGGGGATCGAACTCATGAGGAAGTGGCTTTCAATTCTTACTGCTGCGCTTCAACCCGCTGCGCCACCAGGGAGGACCCGAGCTACATTTTTTAACAGTCTGGGATGGCGGTGGGAGGGATGAGAGCTTTGTGGTCCCTAGGTGCTGGAAGCTACAAAAGCCCCGGTCCTGAGAACATCCCTAACCATGTCTTCATCCCATAATACCTTGCAGCAGCCGTAGTAACACCACTGGGCAAAATGACGGTAGTGGGTGGTAGCGACTGTGAAACCCTGGCTCCCAGGATAGACGTAGCAAGCTTCTGCAGGTTGGGGGTTGGGCACTAGGTATTAAGGGCAAAGCCAGGAAATGAGAGGGAAAGAAAAGTGCCAACCCTAATTGCCCATTGTTTGCCTTACTAGGGTTGGGCTTAATGGGAGTTTTTGGGCCTCAGCATTTGTTTCCCCTGAAATGCTGTTGAGACCAAAGGCTTTGTTTAGGATCCTTGCCTTGACAGTAGCAGAAATGAGGCTGCAGGTCCTATTTGTGCAGAAATGAGGCTGCAGGTCCTATTTGGAGAGACTTTTTGCCCAATGATGCCTACAAGATTTCAGATACTTAACTCACAAAAGTGGTAGGCTTGAATTCAAATGGACAGATTGTTCTAATTTTCATTAACTATTTGATTCCTTTTTCTTTCCTTTATTTATTTTTAAAGATTTATTTATTTATGCATACAGAACTAGGGTACAAACCAGAGGTGCAGGGGCAGTGAAAGGATTCACTAGAGACAGAATGGGGAGCAGAACAGGCAGATCGATGAAGGACACTGCTGAGGGAAGCAGCCAGCAAGATCGGAGAGGTCTGCTATGCCACGTGGGTCACCTCCGTGCTGGAGATCGAAATTGCTGAAGTGGCTGTGGCTGCGGATAGCTTGGCAGTGCTGCACTTTAACCCCTAGCGCCACCAGGGAGGGCCCTCGATTCCTTTTTCTATCCACAGTTTGTGGCTCGTTTTGTAGGAATTACAATCTATCCTACCACAACCTACATTTCGTAACAAAAAAATGTAAATGTGATGATTTTTTTGTCTCCCAAATGTTGCTCCACCAACTTAAAAACCAAAGTTGCTATGAAATTAAAATAGTAATGAATTTAAAGTATTTAAATGAACTACACTTGATCTTGGAAGTGGAAATGTCTAGATTATTTCTGGTAAACCAGTGTTCATGGACTCACAGCTGCTAAAAAGGATGTTGAAGGTGAGCTAATTTAACCAGTTTTACAGATAAGAAAATAGAATCGAGAGTAGTTAAATGATGTGCCTGAGTGCCCACATTTTGATCCTAGTGCTCATCTAGTTTTGTTTCAGATGTTGATATGAACATTAACAAAGTACCAAAGGAAAAATCATAACTTTCACTGCAAAAACCAAATGAAAAGTGAGATTATCAGTCATTTACCTTCATAAGCATAATCAAGATCTGTCTGTTTTCCTAGATCTTCTAGTTGATATCACTTAAATGTTAACTTTTAATCTTCAATACCATCTTTGTTTCCAGTGATAGTAGCAATACAGCATTTGACACTACTGGTATCGTGAGATTGGTTTTATATGTGAATATTTTGTATCACCTTTCCATCTTTTTGAAATCACAATAATTTTGATTGTCAACATTGCATAATTTATGGATTATAGCTTCACACCTCAATAAATATGCCATACCACTTCCACCACAAAGGGCTGGTTACCATTATCAAAATGACCACCTTTATCTGTCTTTCACCCTCCCACCACCCTGCTCCCACATTCCCTTCCATTCTTTTGTCAGCAACTAATGGTTTGGTGGTGTTTGTACATTTGCTATTCTACATATAAGTGAAATCACAGTATGTCTTTATTAAACTTAATTTGTTAAGCATTATACCCTTCAATTCCCATATTGTCAAAGTAACAAGATTTCAATTTTTTTTTTTTTTTTGTAGATGAGTGGTATTCCATTGTGTATACATACCACATCTTGCTAACCAACTCATTGTTCTTTAGATATAAAGGATGTCTCCATAACTTAACTATTGTAAATAGTGCTGCAATGAACATGGCGAGGGTGGGGGGGTTCCTATATCTCTTCAAATTAGTGTTTTTTCATTCTTCATGTAGATCCTTGGTAGTGAAGTGCTAAATTGTGCTAAATTGTATGGTAGAACTTTTTAAAGTATTTTGAGACACTGCTATACTTTTTAATGGGGGCTGTACCAGTCTCTATTCTCACCAACTGTATACAGGGTTCCTTTTTCTCTATATCATAACTAATGCTTCTTGTTGCTGGTCTATCATATTTATCATTCTTATGTTGCCTTCCCAATGGAGTTGGATAATTCTTCAATTAATTCTTCATTTCCCTCCCCTCTTCCCCCCCCCCCACTTTGAATTTCTCTTTCTTTTCTATCTGGGTCCCGTGTGCATTGTTATCTTCAGGGTCACTAATTCAGTCCTACCTTTTGATCTGGTCTGCTTCCACAGATTTTCTTCAGAATTTTTGCATCACTTGTTTTCTTTTTATGTCCTGCAACTCCTTTTATTTTTTTTTTAATTTAAATCTTCATTTTCTGTTTCTATTCATTATTTTTCTCATGACATTTGTTTTTCTCTGAATTTTGTTGTATATCTGACAAGTTTTTTAGAGTTCTGTTGTATCACTTTGATTTCGTTATCAAGACAGTGTTGAATTCTCTATTGGCTGGAACCTAGAGAACTGTCCTCTCCTATTCCTTGAAGCCTCAATTCTCTATTTTTGTGTCAGCACGTTTTGCTGCTTTAGATCTTAGACATTTAAACTGCTTCTTTCTATCTGGTGTCACTGGTTTTTATAAGATTTAGGATTCTGCATGCAGTATTCTGATGATGAATGTAGATGATTCTTTGGGAAGCAAAGAAAGGAAACTCTGATTCCATTTTCTTTTTATATTGTGATTGACCACATTTAAAAGCCCTTTTTTTCCCATAGAATATTTTAAATTGGGGGAAAAGGTAGATTTCTTCCACCCTGATCAAACTACTCTTAAAACCACCATAACAGACCCTCCCATTGCCACTATAATTATATATTCATTGCTTTGCCTATTCACTGACATTTATCGAGTGTCACACTCAATACTGAACATAGATTACAGAGAGAAGACATCTTTGCCCTCTAGAGAAGATAAACTATTACAGTGTGTGAGTGTTCTGAGGAAATGTATGTGCTATGAAAACGTAGAGGGCCAATCCTCTCCCAACTTTGAGAAACCATGGAAGAAATTAGTAAATCAGATCTTATGGACAAGTAACTATTTGGGAGATGAAATATTTCATGAAGGGTCTTTTAGACCAGGAACAGCATGTGCTAGAGTATTGCTCAGTGCAACAAATCCTGCATCATGAGAATTTGTGGTCTAATAAGTTGAGATTGATTAATAGTCTTAATATCTTGGTCACAAAACATTTTGTAGGCCTTTAGGGTTTTGAGAAATTTTATCCTGAAGACTGGGATGCCATTTAGTTTTTTAAACTGGGAAATACACAATATCAAAACAATTTAGCCAATGTAAAAGTAAAAGTTAGGCTACTTGAGAATTCAGACATGAGTGATACAAAGAGATAAAGCATCTGTGATTATAAGTAGAAGAAGTCTAGGTGACAATTATTGTGGCCTGCATAGTCTTGCAGAAGATTTCAGTTTAGATTCTCTGGGGTGATGCCATAATAGAATTAAAGTAGAAAAGAAGTCTCATTTTGTTTATAGTTCTCACAGATGACTAGAAGAATGGAGGGTCATTTGCTTTTCCTTTCTACACTAAGTATTCAATATAATTTCTAATCTTACTGATTTCCTTGCAGACTGGGAAAACCATTTATCTTTTTAAATTATGTCAGGTGTTTAATTTTTAAGTTAGGCTTGTATCTAGTGCCATTTGGAGACCAAATTAAAGTTTTTAGTTCCCTAAATAGTTTTACTTATAAGTGATTTAAATATCCAAGTGCAATTTTCTTATTTTTAACATCCTTGTTTACTTTTTCACAGAATAGTATTTCTCCCTCAGGGAGTTAAGTTATGAAGACATCTTTTGTGTCTAAAGAACAATGAGTGGGTAAGAAAGGTGTGGTATAGTTTTCCCACAAATGCAGTTATTTAGGTAACATTATGTCTAGCTGCTTAACAAGGCAAGGTAATATATAGCAAATTTCTAAATTTTTTAATGATGCACTTACTTGAGTTTTAAGAACTTTCTCATACGGATTTTACTTATGTTTTAT